TAGGGTAAAATGCAGTTTTTGGCTCATATATCTAAACCCAAAGCATTTCTAGCAAATCTTTCAAAACAAAATTGTTCATTAGGTCAAGATCTATCTGCCCTTAAATTTTCAGACCATTCAGGCAACCCGTTGTTGGGTTGCTGCCCCTGAATTGGTAATTTTTAGAAATTTTTTCAGCTTTTGGTTATTATCTTGTATATAATTATAGATAGAGATAAACTGTAAAGAGCAATAATGTACAGCAAAGTAAGACCTACAAATAAGTCACATGACCAGAATGGTCAATTGACCCCTTAAGGAGTTATTGCCCTTTATAATAAATTTTTAACAATTTTCATAAATTTTGTAAATTTTTACAAAATAATTTCCACTGAAACTACAGGGCCAAGTTCATTATAGATAGAGATAATTGTAAGCATCAAGAATGTTCAGTAAAGTAAGATCTACAAACACATCACCATCACCAAAACACAATTTTGTCATGAATCCACCTGTGTCCTTTGTTTAATATGCACATAGACCAAGGTGAGCGACACAGGCTCTTTAGAGCCTCTAGTTTTATATACTGTAAATTCAGAAATTATTGCGATGTTTTTATTATTGCGAAAAATGCGACAGGGTTATAATCGCAAAAATTTAAACTCGCATTTTGAAATTTTTTATATGAATTAAACAAGATTTTTCTCAATATCGCAAAAATTTAAATCGCATTTTAGTCTAAAATGCCAAAATCGCAATAATAAATGCACGCAATAATTTCTGAATTTACAGTAATGTTCTACTTTTAGACAAAAATATATATTAAAATCATAGAATATCTACCAGCTCTTAACTCAAAATATGGACGTTCACTTCCCATATGTTAAAAAATACAAAAAATGTACACTCATTAGTATATAATAAAGAAAATATGAAAGTAATGAATCAATGAAATAACATGAATAACCTTTTACATTTTGCCACTGTGAAAATAATTATAAGAACTATTACATGTACCCCCCTTTTTCAATTCCAACTAATTTATAAGCATAGCCTGATTTGAATTAATCTAACTTTTTAATTCTGTTCATGAAAAGTGTACTGTTCTAGCAAAACACATACTGATATACCTTAATTAAGACATTTTACAGAAAATTTAACAAAGAGAACACAATTTTAATACAACAGTAAATTGTTTGAAATATATAGTTCAATATGCACCTCACCTTATCCATGTTATCGTTAAATAATCAACACAGTATGATATGTGCCAAGTTTTACATGAATAATCTACAGGAGGGACCCAGAATTTTTGAAAAAGAGAGTGGTGGGGTTACTGATGGATGGACAGACAGACAGACTGACAAAGTGCAAACCAAAAGTCCCATTCGACTTCGTTGGTAGGGGACTAATAATCTAAACTAACAACAGAGTAAATGAAAATTCTGTTTGTAAAAGAAACTCCTGCCTTTTTCCCCGAAAAATCAAATAGTCATTAGTATTAATTTACTTATGGTGTCTATGTAGACAACATTCTGTATGTATGTGCCTGTCCCAAGTCAGGAGCCTGTAATTCAGTGGTTGTCGTTTGTTGATGTGTCACATTTTTGTTATTGGTTCATTTTTTGTACATAAATTAGGCCGTTAGTTTTCTCGTTTGAATTGTTTTACATTTGTCATTTTGGGGCCTTTTATAGCTGACTTTATATTTGCGGTATGGGCTTTGCTCATTGTTGAAGGTCGTACGGTGACCTATAGTTGTTAATTTCTGTGTCATTTGGTCTTGTGGAGAGTTGTCTCATTGGCAATCATACCACATCTTCTTTTTTATATATAACACAACTGCCAAGTTGCAAATAAATGGTGATTTAGTCAACACACCAGGAGTCGGTTTTAAAAAAACTCACAACTAACATTTATCGTATATGAATTGTTTATGAATTACATTTCTAGTGTAAAACAAGTGTGAAACTGCTTCATAAGATACTAAAATGAAGATTGTGTTCTAATTTTTTCGATCTTTGTTTCAGTATTCATGAAAAGCAGCCCACTTGTTCGATTATTGCGATTTATCTTGTGTTTATCCAATCACGCCGGCAAGAACATGCCATTACCACAATACGGACGTGCATTTGCAACAATGAAAATAGCAATAAATTTTTTTGTTAAATTCTAGAATTACAGTTTTCGATAACAACATTCTTTTGTTATATATTTAAATCAAATAGATTATTTATAATAATCAAAATTAATTACGATTGACAATTACGACAATAGGATGACTTGCGATATCGATGTGCAACTTACTGCGCAGTTGGCGCAAAAATTTGAACCCGCGAGCCCCCTTAATTAAAAAAAAAAAAATGAAGCAATTTCCTGTATTTGATGCATTTTCTTGATTTATGTTGAATAGGAACAAAGTGGTAGGCAGTTATTTTGAACATGGTTGCCTCATTAAGATTTCTGTACAATGATTGGTGACATGAAAGCTAGATAAACAAATCTAATACAACCAGATGTTTAAACATTATGCAAATTGTTAACACCACAGACCCTGTATAGAAATCCCTATGTCTTGTAATCTGCAGCTTTCTTTGAAGTTGAGACAAAAACTGGGTCCTTTCATTTTTAACATGACCCATATTTTTAATGCTATCATGTCGTCGTCGTCCGAAGACACATTTGGTTTCCGGACAATAACTTTAGTTAAAGTGAATGGATCTCTATGAAATTTTACCAAAAGGTTCAATATTAAAAAAGGAAGGTTGGGATTGTTTTTGGGGATGATGGTCTCAACCGTTTAGGAATTAGGGACGAAAAAGGGGCCCAAAGCAAGCATTTTTCTAGCTTCAGGACAATAACTTGTGTGTAAGTGTATGGATATCTCTGAAATTGTTCCAGGGATTGAGTTTGGGGGGTAATTGCCCCAAACGTTCAGGAATTGAGGGCAAAAAAAGGGCCAAAAACAAGCATTTTTATATGACCGCAAAAACATTTTGGGGTCGTATATTGGTATGACGTTGTCGTCGTCTGAAGACACATTGGTTTTCGCACTCTAACTTTAGTTTAAGTGAATGGATCTCTATGAAATTTTACCATAAGGTTCAATACCACAAAAGGAAGGTTGGGATTGATTTTGGGGGTTATGGTACCAACAGTTAAGGAATTAGGGGCCAGAAACAAGCATTTTCTAGTTTCCAGACAATAACTTGTGGAACGGTGTATGGATCTCTCTGAAATTATACCACTAGTTTCCATACCACAAAGGGATGGTTAGGATTTGCTTAAGGGAGTTATGGCTCAAACCTTTTAGGAATTAGGGGCAAAAAAGGGGGAAAAACAAGGTTGTCCTGGTTAATGGACAAATACTTTAGTACAAAACATAATTTAAAGCAGTGTAAGGGAGATAAATCAAATACAATATTTGAATTACCTCCCTTACACTGCTTTTAAATTATGTATAAAGTAATGGTTAATGAACAATTATGACAATTTAAAACAGTGTAAGGGAGGTAATCCAAATACAACGTTTTGATTACTTCCCTTATACTGCTTTTAAATTATGTTTAAAGAAATGCATATTTATAAAGGAAGACCAGTAAAAATATCTGCAAATGTTGCATCTTTTTTTTTTTTTTTTTTAAATCCATATGAAAGATTTAACACCATATTTTAAATTCTATTATAAAATAGATTAAGTTAGCACTATGGTAAATTTAAATGGGTAATTGGAAATTTGAATTGCGATTATGACCATATCTTGAGGGAAAGGAAAGCATTTTTTGGGGGAAAAAAGGGGGGGGGGGGTAAAAAGAAATTGTGGGGGGTCAATTTTTTCTCATTTCAGATTTCAGAAATTAAAAAGAATTATTCTTCAAATATTATTTTTTTTTCAAATTTCAAATATTGAAAAATTTCAAGAAGTAATCTTTAATTGCACAGTATGGCGCATTAGATTTGTAAAATCTTTGACCACATTTATTTATTTGTTATGCCGAATCTAACAGTGTATTAAGTTTTTTAAATTTTGGGTCCAGTTTTCAATTTTCAAACATTAAGGTCCAAAGGGTCCAAATTAAACTTAGTTTGATTTTAACAAAAATTGAATATATGGGGTTCTTTGATATGCTGAATCTAAACATGTATTTAGATTTTTGATTTTGGTCCCAGTTTTCAAGTTGGTCCAAATTGGGGTCCAAAATTAGACTTTGCTTGATTTCAACAAAAATTGAATATATGGGGTTCTTTGATATGCTGAATCTAACAATGTATTTAGATTTTTTATTTGTGGGCCCTGCTATGAAATTGGTTCATATTGAGGTCAAAAGGGTCCAAAATTAAACTTTGTTTGATTTCATCAAAAATTGAATTCTTGGACTATAATAGGTTAATTAAAAATTTTTAAGTTCTTAGACCACATTCATTCTGTGTCAGAAACCTATGCTGTGTCAAATATTTTGCAAAAAAAGGGTGGGGGGAGGGGATTTTTTTTTTGGGGGGGTGTTCAATACTCAACAGTATAGTGTTTTGCACAAAAGCAAAAAAAATGGGTTAATTTTTATTTATTTTTTTGGGGGGTGGGGGGTCAATTCGCACAGGCACAGTGTATTGCACAAAAGCAAAAAATTGAATATAAATTCAAATCATATAACCAATTCTAAGTTCTTTGACTATAGTTATTCTGTGTCAGAAACCTATTATGTGTCAAATATTTAATTACAATCCAAATTCAGACCTGTATCAAGCGCAAATATTGTGTCCATTTTGGCCCCAACTGTTCAGGGTTGGACCTCTGCGGTCGTATCCAGCTGCGTCCGGCGAAGCAATTTATTTTCTGTCTGTAAGTGGTTCATACTGGATGTACTGGATATTAGATACTATGGAGTCTTAACATTTTTTGCCAGTATGGTTTGATAGTGATATTGGTGTCTCTCTCTGGAATGTAGATTCTCTGACTTTACATTATTGTGTTATATCAGACCATTCAATATAATGTTTTTAAAACTTTATTCTATTTCCAGATAGTGATATTGCCCCTTGGAGTGACCTAAGTCCTCCACTGTATTCCCAATCTGATTGGATAGTACCAGGAAAGGTCAAAGTTTATAAACCATTGTTAGAAAGACAGAAATGTGGTAAGATACAATATCTTGGACATGATACTACATTCTCTATTACCCTTTATTTTGAATTGTTAAAAAAAGAATTTCTCTTTTCAAACTGAGATGCTTCAAAATGGTTGTAATTACTGTTCCATTAGGAACACCCATTCTGTTGCTCATGACAAGTCAAATTCTGGTGACAAAAAAGATACAATAAAGGAGGACAGGATTGTGGCTACAACAAATGGAACAAATACATGGTCATTTGTGATAAGAATTTTAGATTGACAAGAATAGACAGACTTTTGTTAACACTAGGTGAAGTCAAAGTCGAAAAAACGAGACTTAGGCCTGCTGTTTCCTTTGGCAGCTGCAATTATTTGTTAAGTTTGAGATTAGGTCAGTTTATGGGGAGCCACTCATGGTATGCCAGTGCTATTTGGTATGTAGTTGTAGAAGCATTGGCACATTTAATTTTCATGGATAGTATTGGCCCCACCCCCTCAGGGGTCAATCTATTGATAATAAAAATTAGCATAGTTAGCATTTCAAAGTTTGCGATTAGGTCTGTTTGATGGGAACCAGTAATGGTAGGTAAAAAATATATTTGATATGTAGTTGTATTTGTATTAGCACATCTAATCTTCATAGAGATTATATGGCCCTGCTCCTGTAGTCCTGGCTCATTTACTTTGGAATTTTTGCTCATTTTACATGTTAATGTTTGTGATTAGGTCATTTTTTTTGTCGAGCTTGCGACTTTTGTCGCAAAAAGCTTGACATAGGGATAGTGATCCGGCGGCAGCAGCGTTGACTAACTTCTTAAAAGCTTTATATTTTCCAAGGTGGAAGACCTGGATGCTTCATATTTTGTATATAGATGCCTTATGTTATGAAGTTTCTGTCTGTCATATGTCCATTGTCCTTGACCTCATTTTCATGGTTCAGTGACTACTTGAAAAAAGTTAAGATTTTTTGTAATGTTAATTTCTCTCTTATTATGAGTAATAGGATAACTATATTTAATATGTGCGTACCTTGCAAGGTCCTCATTGCCTGTCAGGCAGTTTTCATCTGACCTCGACCTCATTTCATAGATCAGTGAACAAGGTTAAGTTTTCGTGGTCAAGTCCATAAATCAGATACTATAAGCAAAAGTTCTTTTTTATTTAGTGTATGGAATGATTGTAAGGTGTACATGTTCAACTGGCAGGTGTTATCTGACCTTGACCTCATTTTCATGGTTCAGCGGTTAAAGTTAAGTTTTTGTGTTTTGGTCTTTTTTTTCTAATACTATATGCAATAGGTCAACTATATTTGGTGTATTGAAATATTTTACAATGTACATGTCAGTCTGGCAGGTTTTATTTGACCTTGACCTCATTTTCACGGTTCATTGCTCAGTGTTTAGTTTTTGTGTTTTGGTCTGTTTTTATACGACCGCAAAAAAATTTTGCGGTGGTATATTGGTATGACGTTAGCGTCATCGTCGTCCGAAGACACATTGGTTTTCGCACTCTAACTTTAGTTTAAGTGAATGGATCTCTATGAAATTTTACCATAAGGTTCAATACCACAAAAGGAAGGTGGGGATTGATTTTTGGGGTTATGGTTCCAACAGTTAAGGAATTAGGGGCCAAAAATAAGCATTTTTGTAACTTCCAGACATAACTTGTGTGTTAGTGTATGGATCTCTCTGACATTGTACCACAAGGTTCCATATCACAGAGGGAATGCTGGGATTGATTTTGGGGGTAATTGCCTCCAAATTTTAGGAGTTAGGGGCCAAAAAGGGGCAAAAAAACAAGCATTTTTCTAGTTTCATGACAATAACTTATGTGTAAGTGTATGGATCTCTCTGACATTGTACCACAAGGTTCCATATCACAAAGGGAATGCTGGGATTGATTTTGGGGGTAATTGCCTCCAAATTTTAGGAATTAGGGGCCAAAAAGGGGCAAAAGAAAAGCATTTTTCTAGTTTCACGACAATAACTTGTGTGTAAGTGTATGGATCTTTATGAAATTGTACTACGAGGTTCCATATCACAAAGGGAAAGCTGGAATTGAATTTGGGGGTAATTGCCCAAAACGTTTAGGAATAAGGGGCCAAAAATAAGCATTTTTCTAGTTTCCAGACAATAACTTGTGTGTATGGATCTCTCTGAAATTGTACTGCTAGGTACCATACCACAAAGGGAAGGCTGGGATTGATTTTGGGGGTAATTGCCTCCAAATTTTAGGAATTAGGGGCAAAAAAGGGGCAAAAAACAAGCATTTTTCTAGTTTCATGACAATAACTTGTGTGTAAGTGTATGGATCTTTATGAAATTGTACTACGAGGTTCCATATCACAAAGGGAAAGCTGGAATTGAGTTTGGGGGTAATTGCCCAAAACGTTTAGGAATAAGGGGCCAAAAAGGGGCCAAAATAAGCATTTTTCTAGTTTCCAGACAATAACTTGTGTGTTCAAGTGTATGGATCTCTCTGAAATTGTGCTGCAAGGTACCATACCACAAAGGGATGGCTGGGATTGATTTTGGGGGTAATTGCCTCAAAATTTTAGGAATTAGGGGCCTTGAAGGGGCAAAAAAACAAGCATTTTTCTAGTTTCAGGACAATAACTTGTGTGTAAGTGTATGGATCTTTATGAAATTGTTCTGCAAGGTTCCATATCACAAAGGGAAAGCTGGGTTTGAGTTTGGGGGTAATTGCCCTAAATGTTTAGGAATTTGGGGCCAAAAAGGGGCAAAAAAAAAAGCATTTTTCTAGTTTCCAGACAATAACTTGTGTTCAAGTGTATGGATCTCTCTGAAATTGTACTGCAAGGTACCATACCACAAAGGGAAGGCTGGGATTGAGTTTGGGGGTGATGAATCATAAGGGGGTTCAAAAAATTTGGGGGTGGATTTTTTTTTCGTTTTTTTCTTTAAAATTTTCCATTTTAAATTGGTTATTTCTGATTTATATATAAAAGCAAATAATAATGATATGGTTTGAATAGGTTAATTAAAATTTTTTTTAAGTTCTTAGACCACATTCATTCTGTGTCAGAAACCTATGCTGTGTCAAATATTTAATTACAATCCAAATTCAGTGCTGTATCAAGCTTGAATGTTGTGTCCATACTTGCCCCAACTGTTCAGAGTTCGACCTCTGCGGTCGTATCAAGCTGCGCCCCAGCGGAGCATTTTATTCTTAAACTATAACCAATAGGTCAACTATATTTGTTGTATGGAATGATTGTAAGGTGTACATGTGTGTCTGGCATAATTCATCTGACCGTGACCTTATTTTCATGGTTGATTGGTCAATGTTTAGTTTTCCTGTTTTAGTCTGTTTCTTAGAAGCTATAAGCAATAGGTCAACTATATTTGGTGTATTGAATGATTGTAAGGTGTACATGTATTTCCGGTTTGGTTTATCTGACCTTGACCTCATTTTCTTGGATCATGTTAAGTTTATGTGATACTTTTAGTAAAGCTTTATATTTAGGACTATCAACTTAAAATCAATGGTCAGTAAAGAAGGTGAGACATTTCAGCGTGTGCACTCTTGTTTTAGTATGCACTGGTATTAGCATTGGCACATCTCATTTGCACGGAGATTATTTGGCCTTGAACTTTCAGTCTTTGTTCATTTACTTTTGAGGTTTTGCATAGGTTACATGTTATATTATTGCCATTCATAATTTGTTAAGTTTGTGATTAGATCAAGTTAATTGGGATTATTATATGTAGTACCAAATATTATTGACTAACCATCAGTGGTTCCTCTCAAACTGAACTTATCACAAACTTTAATCATGTAAACTGTGCTAAAGTTTCATAGTCAATAGACCATGACTGAGGGGGGCCAACCCAAATAATCTCCATGGATATTAGATATGTCAATGCTACTTCCACATTTGCATTTTATTATCAAACTAACATACAGGCAAGACATATGTCTGTGTCAACTGTTTATTCATAAAATGAAATTGAACTGTTTGCAAGCGTTGAAATTTGAAGTTATGTCAATAAAGATAAGCCATAGACATAATATCCAACTCTGTGAAAAGGGTTAAGGTTGCAGTCTTGTAATTAAGTGCTCCATAGGCTTACATGCAAAACGGCTGATCTTTAAAAAATTTTAAAAATAAAATGCTACTTAGAAAAAAAATTTCATGTACATATCATGTATGTAGTAATGTGAAATTGTGATTTAATGCAAAAAAAAAGTGCCTCATGCCACGAAGAATAAAAAGTTATGAAACCATGAAGTCAAAACTACTTTTTTCTTCTTCCGTTTGCTGTTTTTACTAGTCTGCACCACTTCAAGTAAACATGATATCCCCAAAAAATGCAACATTTTTTTAAGACCTTAATAGATGTTTCAATTCAGCATAAAATTTTAATCAAACAGAAAAATTTGAGTTCAGAAAAAAATGGACTATTTTATTTAACTTCATGTTTCGACATGCACTGGAAACTGAAGTTGTAATACAAGACTGGTACCTACAAGTAACTTAAAGAAGGATACAATTTTAATATTTGTTCAAGGGGAAATAACTCAAGCTAATTTTAATACAAGTCCTGATGTCCCCTGATATGTTATAATTCACAATTTCAATAAAAAGAGTCTTACAGGATACAGAATAATAATTACTATAATGTGAATTTGATAGTTTACCAAGTTTCTTTTATAAATTAGGTAGTATTGCGAGTAAAATCTTGGGTTTATTTATAAATTTCATAAACATTTTGATAACAAGAGACCTTATTTTAAGGCTAAGGTAAGTTACATTTACCTGGCAATTCAACCATAACAGGTTAATAATCAGAACAAAATCCGTATTTGAAGAATTGAAGAGTCTTTCCAATAAATATTGAGTATTTTTGATGGTTGCCTTGCAACTGTTGTAGTGACATCATTATTAGTCCTAAAGGCAGATTACTATATTGACAAACAACTTTTTCAAATATATTAAAAGTATATGAATCAATAAATCAAAAGAAATACCCAGAAAGTAGGTTCACAAAGGATCAATAATGGCCCTAGAATCCCAACAAATAGGTTTATGAAGGATAATATTGGCCCTAGAATTAGATGAATTTTAATATCAATTATAATTGTAAACTTGAAAAAAATGTGACCAAATGGCGGGAATAGACCTTAAAATGCTTATAAACAGGAAATATGGTTATAATCTTTGTAAAATATGCTTTTAAAGCTGTCAAATTTATTTGAAACAATCATTAGATAAAAAAAATGTAGTTCATTTAAATTTGCATTTTTTAGGACTTGAATATTGTATTGTTTTTTTTATAGATATGATACATTTTTAGGGCCAAAATAAAGTCTTTCTTATTCAAAAACTTTAATAAATTTAACAAAAACTTGTAAACAGTGAAAATGATCACCAATACAAGACATACAAAAATGCCTTTAAATAAGATCTACTAAACAGCAAAACCTACCTGATGGCTAAAATGCAATATTTTTTACCAGGTTAGCGATTCAGTCTCTTGGGAGCCTCTTGTTTTCATTAAAAAATAACTTTTACTGTTCTGCTGGAAAAATTGCAATGTTTTTTATTTACAGAAAGTTTGGAAGACAGAATAGAACATTTTGCAAAGAGGCGGAAAATTATGTCTGCAACAGAATCAACAGCAGAGACTACATGATGTGATGTCAAAGAGATAGTTGTAAAAACATGTGCATGTCTTATCAAACAAATGCAAGGTCATATGATTTCATTTAACAATCAAAAATGATCCGTAATTTGAGGCATCAAATTTGAAAATATCTGTCTCAGTTTTCATGGAAATATAACGGAAAAAGACAAAACTTAAAAACTTAATAATAGTATAGATATGGAATCAAGATTTCATATTTGATTCATAGGCAGCAAGAAGAGTTAAAGAGAAGTCATTTGTCACCAAAGCAATACACCTATTTGATGTGTTACTGTGTAAACTGTTGCCATAGTAACTTTTTATGCTAGTCAATTATTAGCTGCATTTTGGTGCAGAATTATATTATAAGGGTGCTAGAGATTGCATTTCTATTTTTTACTTTATTCCATGTTTTGTTTTACAATATTTTAATTAATGCTGCATAATTTTGTTGAGAGAACATTAAGTGCTATTTTCAATGAAGCAATACTTTGCATTGTTTATATATTTTGTATATAATGTTAAATGTGGGAAAAGGAAATACTCAGCTTGTGTTTTCAATGTTCTGCTGTTGTAACCTAGATGCATTTTTGTTTCTACTTGACGGAGTCAAAAAGCGAGACATAGGTATGCTGTTTCCGGCGTCAGCGGCGTCAGCAATGTATTAGTTTGTGATTAGGTCTGTTTATGTTGAACCACTAGTGATAGGTCAATGATATTTATTATACTTCATGTCAAAATACCAGATTTTGATTGGTTAATAAGAGGGAGACAATTTACTCTATCCCATGGCAAAGACTCTATTACCCTTCATGGAGACGCTTGCTCAAGTGTGTGCTTTATAAATACGGATGATTGTTATGTACAAGACGACATAGTTTATTACTTTGAATTTGAAATTTAATAGACAGTAATAACAGAACATTCAGTATAATAAATTAAATAACACATATCTGAGAGGGTGATAGAGCAGATTGTTACCCCTCGAAAAGACATTGTTAACCTTGGCTTTGCCTCAGTTGACAATGTTTTCTCGGGGTAACAATCTGCTCTATCACCCTCTCAGCTATGTGTTATTTATATATTGGTATGCAGTTATATTAGCATTGGTACATCTCATTTCTATGCAGAATATGTTGCCCTGCCCCCTCAGTCATGGTCTAATTACTTTGAAACTTTGCTTAATATTTACATGTATTAGTTTGTGATTAGATCAGTTTAAGATGAACCACTAATGTTAAGTCAATGATATTTGGTATGCATTTGCAAGTTTCATTTCGATGGAGATTATATAGCCTCATCCCCTCATCATGGTTCATTGACTTGTACATAGTTTACAAGTTAATGTTTGTGTTTAGGTTTGTTTAAAGGGAACGACTTATGAAAAGTCAGTGGTATTTGGTATGCAGTTGTATTAGCATTGGCACATCTCATTTCCATGGAGATTGTTTAGCCCTGTACCTTCAGTTAGGGTTCATTCACTTTGAATATTTGCATATCTTACATGTTAAAGTGTTGCCAATTTAATTTCAACATTTGCATTATCAAAATAACAAATAGGCGAGACTTATCTCTGTGTTAACAGTTTATTAAGATATTGAGTAGATAATGATTTTAACACAGTTGCCAATCCTTAATTATACATTTCCAGGAGTACCACAATAGATTTTCATTTTTTTCTGTTTTCCATTTTATATGTGCTTACAAAGGGAATCTTATTAAAACATACTCTCTGCATGTTTGTCCCTGTAGAATACACTTTTTAATCCCCCCGCCATAGGTGACGGTAGCATTAAGTGTTTCCCTTGACCATCCGTCCTATTTTTGTTGCAAAGCTTGAGTGGGGGCATTCGTGTCCTCAGACACATTCTTTTATTTGTTATTGTTTTATAAACTGCCTATGATTATTTTGGACATTTATTTCTTCCTTGAGCTTAGGGTGATACCACCATTGTGTTTCCCCTGTTAGTGTTTGTTAAATTTGCATATTTTAAAATGTTCATAACTTTAGTTGAGAAATTATTAAATAGGACACTGCATGTTTCAAACATATTTTATAGGAAGACCGAAAAAAAAAAGAGAGAAAAGTGCTGTAAAATAACCAAGAAATATGTTTTCGATTCAGAAAAAATTTAAGGAAGAAAATGCTGGGTTAATTTCCTACAAATGTCAAGTTCAAGGGGATAACAGAATCTGACGTACTATGTTTTCTTGGTGAACACCTTTAGACATTATTCTGATTATATTTTTTTTTATTGCACTGTATTTTTAGTTTCATAAGATGTGAAAAAGATATTTTCTGTATGATATCAACAGTAAATAAACTTTTGAAACTCTGCTCAACCAAACCCTTTTTCTGTGTATCCATGTTTCCTTGTTATTACTTCTCCTTTGTAACCAATAAGAAATTGGCCAATTTGTTTATTACATCCTCTGAAGCTTCAATTAGTCTTGAGTTATTTCCCTCTCTGTATTTCTAAGGTCTTTGGTAGATTAAAAGGAATTTGATGTCAAGGTCATGCTCATAATTTAAGACTTGTTGTTTCTACTGCTCAGAAACAGATATCAACAAAAATTTCTGATTTAAATTACAATCTCTATGTAAGTTGCTACATATTGTAACTGCAATGCATTCTTGTTGAAATGATATCTGATAGTTTAAGCCACTGGAATAATTGAAGTAAACTGTATAGTGATATAACTCATAAACCATAGATAGGAGAGTCCCAGGGTCTTTATATTTATGACCCTTGCTTGATAACCTTGAATTTGAGGTCAAGGTCAAAGATTAATTGATTGATGTTCCAGATCTATACCTTTGCTGATTAAAGCTACTTCTCTGAAACTAAGAAGAATAGAGAGAGAGATGGAGCTAAATGTTTGGGAGATTAAGGCAAAGATTTAAAACATGGAAGTTAAAAGCAATCTGATGAAATTTACATGAGTTATTATTGCCCCTAAAATATTTGAGCTAACAATATATTGATTTTTTTTTTGCACTTATTTCATGGAAAATATTGCACCATAGAAAGGGTTGGCAACTTGTAACTAGAATTATACTTAATTGAAACTTTGAATCTCTAGCAAATGACTTAAAGGCTTACTCATAGGATGTCAGAGTAAAAAGATTTACTAATTTTAACCAAAGCATTACATGTAGCCAGTTGGTAATTTTGAAATATCAAATCTCACATTTTCAATGTTGAGATTGTAGAAATTAGTTACCATGCATGCATATATAATAAAGTTAAATATTGAGAATTATGTATTTATTTACTTGTTTTGTTTATATTCTAAACAATTTTAAACGATGTTTGTTTACTTGGGGATACCATTGTATGTGCCAAATGATATTGTTACATGTTGTTATGGAAACAGGTATAGATAGTGTTATGTTATCATAAACTTGGATTTATTGTCAATGTTACTATGGCGTCTAACATTGGAATTTTGTGAGCTCATTTGCACGTACTTGTAGACTGATTCCAAAATAATTTCATATTGTTTAGTCATAGATATCATGTTGCTGTAGCCAATTGCCTAAACTGACTTTGTTGCCATAGATAATTTTATTTAATAAATCATCATCCCTGTTCTTATGAAGCCAAGGTTTTACAAAAAAAAATCTTCAGTCTAGTATATTTTTCTATCTTTCTTATTTCAAATGTTATTTTATCCATTGATCACAATTTTTGTATTTGAAAGGAAAAACTATTTTTGTGCAATTATCAATTTTGTACAATGTAAATCAATAGAGGAAAATGCATTTCAAAATTCATGTGTTTTGTTCAACCATGAAATCTGCAAAAATTTATAAACCAGGAATAAAAGTAATATGATTAAATGACAAAAGTCTTCTACACATTTAAACAGGTTTTCTTTTGGTCAATAGATTTTCTAGTTACCTCTTTCCATATATATAAGGCACTAGTTTACTTACTTAAAAATTGATGATTTATTGTAACTGACTGACATATTTTACAACTAGACAATACAATATGATATTTCCTCATTTAATGAATGACACTTTAAATGACTGTGATTCTGTAAAGGTAAAACTATTGCTTATTTATTGTTCAATATTATTCTTTGATTGAAGGTAACATAATGGTTGAAGAAAATAATTAACTAATTTAAAATAGGGATTTTTTTTTATCTGTTGGTCATTTTATTTTACTTGTACCCTGGTACATTCCGAGCCTCCCAATTTTCAATAATTTTTAAAATGTTTATGTTATGCTTGTGGTTGATTAATATGGTATTAGACTGAATATGTCAAAGTCTAGTGGATAAATGTTTTCAAAAAATTTGTACATAAATTGTTTGGAATGAGAAGCTACAGCTTTTTATTCCATTTCATAAAACAGTTTGAACAGCCAAATTCTACATGTACTACATAAATGTGCTTTAAATCCTATAAAATGAAAAATAAATAACTGTCACCTTATAAAAGGAGACAAAATATTTTGCATTATACTTGTTTCTACATTTTTTAAGTTACCAATGAAAGAGGGAAAGTAGTCAGTATTGCCTGCAACTAAAATGAATGCAATTGCTGCATTATATCAAAAAGTTCCAATATTATTACCACAGACTATAATACTTGGGATTAGCTATTATTTGTGAGATATCAATTTCATGGGTAGAGGTGAACCACAAATTCAAATGTTCAGTGAAGTACAAATTTCTATAGGCTAATATTCAGACATGAAAATAAATGTTTTCCTCGATCATCAAAATTGGTACCCATGACAATGTATTGTGTGTTTTAACTTTGACGTTGTTTTTAGACGAATCCATGTCCCAGATATTAACTAGAATCTGGAGTGTTTCTAAAATTAACTTAATTAAAAGATGGTCTATAGGTTAAGGTTCTTTATATTAGATATCGCACAAGTGACATGAAATGTTGAAGTTAACAGGGTAAAATTTGTGAATTGTTTTGAAAGTTATAAATCATTTTTAAACCATGACATATTTTGTGCCAATTCAGTGTTTATAAAGATGCCATAAAAAGACTTGTAGAAAAAAATTATACTTGGTTTAAATGTTTGAATCTTTATCTTGTCTGTGTTTATGATAAGCTTAGAATAGTTATTACGGTATTGAGAACAATTTACTTGTCTTAAATATATGTTTAAAATGCTTTTATTTTTAAAACTTTTAATATCTTTTTTTTCTCTATAATACAAAATGGTTTATATAGATTGTTATTTTAAAGGAATAAAAGTTATTTATTGTTTGAGATTCTGGAATGGTAAGAAGATACTCATTATAACGCTCCATGATACTCTTCAGTATTTTGGAGGATTAAAATGAGTTTCTTGTAAAGGAACTCCTCTTATCTGTGATTCTCCCTTCAGGATGAGAAAATTTTTCCAAAGCACTTTTCTCTCAATCTAGATAAAAAAATTATACTTCCAAGCCAACATTATGATACCCCTGCCTTATATTTGAAAAAGGCCATATTTAATACAATAGGCAGATTTTTTTTTCTTCTTTTAATTACCTAAAATATCCCCTAAAGAAGACAGAAAAGTCTGTATTGTGGATGTGTTGAAGGTTAACTGGTATGACAAAGGTCAAGCTTTTTGGTAATATATGTGAATCATGGTCACAACATGGTTGAGATTTCCATATGTAAATTACACAAGTAGTTTTCATATGCATGAATAAACTAACCACACCTGAAACGAAGTGGGTACATACTATTTTACCCAGTTTCTGCAATCTTTTAAAATGACTATTGATTAAATAAGTGAGCACATCTGTAGTTATCCTGGTAGATCTATTATTGTTAAGACATTGTTATTCTGTTCTGTAACTATTGAGGTTTTATGTTTTGTATTGATAACATTGTTTGTTAACAGTTACAACTATTAATGAAATGTTCACAGCATTATTACTGTTAATGAAATTTTCACAGCATTATAAAATGTCTTCCAAATGCTTATAGAGTATTTCTTTTCGTTTTTTTAAAGATCTTAAATCAGTTGAATGTCGAAAATTGTCAAGTTCCAACACAGAACTTGTTATGTCAGGTGTTGCATTTTTTACTTGTTTGGTAATCATTTTTTTTTCACAACAGAGTATCATAGTTTTGAACAGTGCAAGATATTTTCATGGATAATTTTATTGCTGGGGCTATCTCTGCTTTTTATGCCCCCGCCATAGCCGAGGGGGCATTAAGTTTTACCCTTGTCCGTCTGTATGTACATACGTCCCAAAGTTTATTTTCGTTCTCTAACTTTAGTTTGCCTCAACCAAATGTTATGAAACTTGTACACAGTGCTTATTACCACTAAATACAGATCAAGTTTGAATTTTGGTGGCGTCACTTTTACCGTTCTAGAGTTATGCCCCTTTACAAATGGAAAAATTGCTAAATTTTTCATTTCCGTTCTCCAACTTAAGTTTGCCTCAACCAAATGTTATTAAACTTATACACAATGCTTATTACCACAATATAGAGATCAAGTTTGAATTTTGGTGCTGTCACTTTTACCGTTCTAGAGTTATGCCCTTTACAATTGCTGAATTTTTCTTCTTTTTTAGCTCACCTGGCCAAGTGAGCTTTTCTCATCACTTGGCGTCCGTCGTCCGTCGTCGTTAGCTTTTTACAAAAATCTTCTCCTCTGAAACCACTGGGCCAAATTTAACCAAACTTGACCACAATCATCATTAGGGTATCTAGTTTAAAAAATGTGTCCGATGATCCCGCCAACCAGCCAAGATGGCCACCATGGCTAAAAATAGAACATAGGGGTAAAATGTAGATTTTGGCTTATATCTCTGAAACCAAAGCATTAAGAGTAAATCTGACATAGGGTAAAACTGATTATCAGGTCAAGATCTATCTGCCCTGAAATTTTCAGACAAATCTGACAACCTGTTGTTGGGTTGCTGCCCCTGAATTGGTAATTTTAAGGAAATTTTGCAGTTTTTATACGACCGCAAAAAAATTTTGTGGTCGTATATTGGTATGACGTTGGCGTCGTCGTCCAGCGTCGTCGTCCGAAGACACATTGGTTTTCGCACTCTAACTTTAGTTTAAGTGAATGGATCTTTTTGAAATTTGACCATAAGATTAAATACCACAAAAGGAAGGTTGGGATTGATTTTGGGGGTTATGGTACCAACAGTTAAGGAATTAGGGGCCAAAAATAAGCATTTTCTAGTTTCCAGACAATAACTGTGGAACGGTGTATGGATCTCTCTGAAATTATACCACAAGTTTCCATACCACAAAGGGATGGTTAAGATTTGCTTTGGGGGGTTATGGCTCAAACCGTTTAGGAATTAGGGGCAAAAAAGGGGGAAAAACAAGGTTGTCCTGGTTAATGGACAAATACTTTAGTACAAAACATAATTTTAAGCAGTGTAAGGGAGATAAATCAAATACATCATTGAAATTATCTCCCTTACACTGCTTTTAAATTATGTATAAAGTAATGGTTAATGAACAATAAAGATAATTTAAAACAGTGTAAGGGAGGTAATCCAAAAACAACGTTTTGGTTACTCCCTTACACTGCTTTTAAATTATGTTTAAAGAAATGCATATTTATAAAGGAAGACCAGTAAAAATATCTGCAAATGTTGCATCTTTTTTTTTTACAAAAAAATCCATATGAAAGATTTGACACTATATTTTATATTCTATTATAAAATAGATTAAGTTAGCACTATGGTAAATTTAAATGGGTAATTATGGTTGCCAACTCCATTGGAAATTTGAATTGAGATTATGACCATATCTTGAGGGAAAGAATTTTTTTAGGGAAAAAAGGGGGGGGATAAAAAGAAATTGTGGGGGGTCAATTTTTTCTCATTTCAGATTTCAGAAATTAAAAAGAATTATTCAAATATTATTTTTTTTTTCAAATTTCAAATATTGAAAAATTTCAAGAAGTAATCTTTAATTGCACAGTATGGCACATAAGATTTGTAAAATCTTTGATTACATTTATTTATTTGTTATGCCGAATCTAACAGTGTATTTAGATTTTTAATTTTGGGTCCAGTTTTCAAATTGGTCTACATTAAGGTCCAAAGGGTCCAAAATTAAACTTTGTTTGATTTTAGCAAAAATTGAATATATGGGGTTCTTTGATATGCTGAATCTAAACATGTATTTAGATTTTTGATTTTTGGCCCAGTTTTCAAGTTGGTCCAAATTGGGGTCCAAAATTAAACTTTGTTTGATTTCAACAAAAATTGAATATATGGGGTTCTTTGATATGCTGAATCTAAACATGTATTTAGATTTTTTATTTGTGGACCCCGTTATCAAATTGGTTCATATTGAGGTCAAAAGGGTCCAAAATTAAACTTTGTTTGATTTCATCAAAAATTGAATTATTGGGGTTCTTTGATCTGCCAAATCTAACCGTGTATTTAGATTTTTAATTTTGGGTCCATGTTTTTTAAATTGGTCTACATTAAGGTCCAAAGGGTCCAAAATTAAACTTAGTTTGATTTTAACAAAAATTGAATTCTTGGGGTTCTTTGATATGCTGAATCCAAACATGTGTTTAGATTTTTGATTATGGGCCCAGTTTTCAAATTGGTCCAAGATAGGGTCCAAAATTAAACTTTGTTTGATTTCAACAAAAATTGAATATATGGGGTTCTTTGATATGCTGAATCTAAACATGTATCTAGATTTTTGATTATGGGCCCAGTTTTCAAGTTGGTCCAAATTGGGGTCCAAAACTAAACTTTGTTTGATTTCAACAAAAATTGAATATATGAAGTTCTTTGATATGCTGAATCTAACCATGTATTTAGATTTTTTATTTGTGGGCCCCGCTTTTTTAAATTGGTCTTCATTGAGGTCCAAAGGGTCCAAAATTAAACTTAGTTTGATTTTAACAAAAATTGAATTGTTGGGGTTCTTTGATATGCTTAATCTAAACATGTGTTTAGATTTTTGATTATGGGCCCAGTTTTCAAGTTGGTCCAAGTTGGGGTCCAAAGGGTCCAAAATTAAACTTTTTTTGATTTCAACAAAAATTGAATATATGGGGTTCTTTGATATGCTGAATCTAACCATGAATTTAGATTTTTTATTTGTGGGCCACGCTATCAAATTGGTTCATATTGAGGTCAAAAGGGTCCAAAATTAAACTTTGTTTGATTTCATCAAAAATTGAATTATTGGGGTTCTTTGATATTCCAAATCTAACTGTGTATTTAGATTTTTAATTTTAAGTCCTGTTTTTTAAATTGGTCTACATTAAGGTCCAAAGGGTCCAAAATTAAACTTAGTTTGATTTAAGCAAAAATTGAATTCTTGGGGTTCTTTGATATGCAGATCTAAACATGTGTTTAAATTTTTGATTATGGGCCCAGTTTTCAAGTTTGTCCAAGTTGGGGTCCAAAATTAAACTTTGTTTGATTTTAACAAAAATTGAATATATGGGGTTCTTTGATATGCTGAATCTAACCATGTATTTTGATTTTGGACATTGGACCATAATAGGTAAATTAAAAAAAATTCAAGTTCTTAGACCACATTCTTTCTGTGTCAGAAACCTCTGCTGTGTCAAATATTTAATAACAATCCAAATTCAGAGCTGTATCAAGCTTGAATGTTGTGTCCATACTTGCCCCAACTGTTCAGGGTTCGACCTCTGCGGTCGTATCAAGCTGCGCCCCAGCGAAGCATTTTATTGGTTATTATCTTGAATATTATTATAGATAGAGATAAACTGTAAACAGCAATAATGTTCAGCAAAGTAAGATCTACAAATGAGTTGTCATGACCAAAATTGTCAGTTGATCCCTTTAGGAGTTATTGCCCTTAATAGTCAATTTTTAATAATTTTTATACGACCGCAAAAAAAATTTGTGGTCGTATATTGGTATGACGTTGGCGTCGTCGTCGTCCGAAGACACATTGGTTTTCGCACTCTAACTTTAGTTTAAGTGAATGGATCTTTTTGAAATTTGACCATAAGGTTAAATACCACAAAAGGAAGGTTGGGATTGATTTTGGGGGTTATGGTACCAACAGTTAAGGAATTAGGGGCCAAAAAGGGGCCAAAAATAAGCATTTTCTTGTTTCCAGACAATAACTGTGGAACGGTGTATGGATCTCTCTGAAATTATACTACAAGTTTCCATACCACAAAGGGATGGTTAGGATTTGCTTTGGGGGGTTATGGCTCAAACCGTTTAGAAATTAGGGGCAAAAAAGGGGGAAAAACAAGGTTGTCCTGGTTAATGGGCAAATACTTTAGTACAAAACATAATTTAAAGCAGTGTAAGGGAGATAAATCAAATACATCATTGAAATTATCTCCCTTACACTGCTTTTAAATTATGTATAAAGTAATGGTTAATGAACAATAAAGATAATTTAAAACAGTGTAAGGGAGGTAATCCAAATACAACGTTTTGGTTACTTCCCTTACACTGCTTTTAAATTATGTTTAAAGAAATGCATATTTATAAAGGAAGACCAGTAAAAATATCTGCAAATGTTGCATCATTTTTTTTTACAAAAAAATCCATATGAAAGATTTGACACTATATTTTTAATTCTATTATAAAATAGATTAAGTTAGCACTATGGTAAATTTAAATGGGTAATTATGGTTGCCAACTCCATTGGAAATTTGAATTGAGATTATGACCATATCTTGAGGGAAAGAATTTTTTGGGGGAAAAAAAGGGGGGGGGGTGGGGATAAAAAGAAATTGTGGGGGGTCAATTTTTTCTCATTTCAGATTTCAGAAATTAAAAAGAATTATTCTTCAAATATTATATTTTTTTTAAATTTCAAATATTGAAAAATTTCAAGAAGTAATCTTTAATTGCACAGTATGGTGCATTAGATTTGTAAAATCTTTGATTACATTTATTTATTTGTTATGCCGAATCTAACAGTGTATTTAGATTTTTAATTTTGGGTCCAGTTTTCAAAATAGTCTACATTAAGGTCCAAAGGGTCCAAAATTAAACTTTGTTTGATTTTAGCAAAAATTGAATATATGAGGTTCTTTGATATGCTGAATCTAAACATGTATTTAGATTTTTGATTTTTGGCCCAGTTTTCTAGTTGGTCCAAATTGGGGTCCAAAATTAAACTTTGTTTGATTTCAACAAAAATTGAATATATGGGGTTCTTTGATATGCTGAATCTAACCATGTATTTAGATTTTTTATTTGTGGACCCCGTTATCAAATTGGTTCATATTGGGGTCAAAAGGGTCCAAAATTAAACTTTGTTTGATTTCATCTAAAATTGAATTATTGGGGTTCTTTGATCTGCCAAATCTAACCGTGTATTTAGATTTTTAATTTTGGGTCCTGTTTTTGAAATTGGTCTACATTAAGGTCCAAAGGGTCCAAAATTAAACTTAGTTTGATTTTAACAAAAATTGAATTCTTGGGGTTCTTTGATATGCTGAATCTAAACATGTGTTTAGATTTTTGATTATGGGCCCAGTTTTCAAGTTGGTCCAAGATAGGGTACAGTATTTAAACTTTGTTTGATTTCAACAAAAATTGAATATATGGGGTTCTTTGATATGCTGAATCTAAACATGTATTTAGATTTTTGATTATGGGCCCAGTTTTCAAGTTGGTCCAAATTGGGGTCCAAAATTTAACTTTGTTTGATTTCAACAAAAATTGAATATATGAGGTTCTTTGATATGCTGAAACTAACCATGTATTTAAATTTTTTGTTTGTAGGCCCCACTATCAAATTGGTTCATATTGAGGTCAAAAGGGTCCAAAATTAAACTTTGTTTGATTTCATCAAAAATTGAATTATTGGGGTTCTTTGATATGCCAAATCTAACCGTGTTTTTAGATGTTTAATTTGGGTCCCATTTTTTAAATTGGTCTTCATTGAGGTTCAAAGTGTCCAAAATTAAACTTAGTTTGATTTTAACAAAAATTGAATTCTTGGGGTTCTTTGATATGCTGAATCTAAACATGTGTTTAGATTTTTGATTATGGGCCCAGTTTTCAAGTTGGTCCAAGTTGGGGTCCAAAATTAAACTTTTTTTGATTTCAACAAAAATTGAATATATGGGGTTCTTTGATATGCTGAATCTAACCATGAATTTAGATTTTTTATTTGTGGGCCCCGCTATCAAATTGGTTCATATTGAGGTCAAAAGGGTCCAAAATTAAACTTTGTTTGATTTCATCAAAAATTGAATTATTGGGGTTCTTTGATATTCCAAATCTAACCGTGTATTTAGATTTTTAATTTTAAGTCCCGTTTTTTAAATTGGTCTACATTAAGGTCCAAAGGGTCCAAAATTAAACTTAGTTTGATTTTAGCAAAAATTGAATTCTTGGGGTTCTTTGATATGCTGAATCTAAACATGTGTTTAGATTTTTGATTATGGGCCCAGTTTTCAAGTTTGTCCAACTTGGGGTCCAAGATTAAACTTTGTTTGATTTTAACAAAAATTGAATATATGGGGTTCTTTGATATGCTGAATCTAACCATGTATTTTGATTTTGGACATTGGACCATAATAGGTAAATTAAAAAAATTCAAGTTCTTAGACCTCATTCTTTCTGTGTCAGAAACCTATGCTGTGTCAAATATTTAATAACAATCCAAATTCAGAGCTGTATCAAGCTTGAATGTTGTGTCCATACTTGCCCCAACTATTCAGGGTTCGACCTCTGCGGTCGTATCAAGCTGCGCCCCAGCGAAGCATTTTATTTGTAAATTTTTGTAATCTTTTACAAAAATCTTCTTCTCTGAAACTACTGAGACAAATTTAACCATACTTGGCCATAATCATTATTAGGGTATCTAGTTTAAAAAATTTGTCCGATGACCCCGCCTTCCAACCATCATGGCCGACTTGGTTAAAAATAGAACATAGGGGTAAAATGCAGTTTTTGGTTTATATCTCTGAAACTAAAGCATTTAGTGCAAATCTGACAGGTGGCTAAAATGTTCATCAGATTTAGATTTATCTGCCCTGAAATTTTCAGACGAATCCGACAACCTGTTGTTGGGTTGCTGCCCCTGAGTTAGTAATTTTACAAAAATTTTGCAGTTTTTTGTTATTATCTTAGATATCATTATAATATCTAATATCTAATACTATTAATTATGATTTTAACCTTATTTTACATGATTTCCAAAGCATTAGTAAATACAGGTGAGCGACACAGGCTCTTGAGAGCCTCTAGTTTTTTTCTAAATATCAAGTATTTTTAAAATTGGAGTTATCTTTCTTTGTCCATGATTATAGTTGAATCAACTACAATCAATGCTTTATACAATGCAATGTTTAATTTTACCTTCCACTGATAAATTAAAGCAATTTTTACCCTTCATTTCTAAAAATATTTTAAAGTTTTCTTTGAAAATTGGAGTTATCATTTTTTGTGCATAATGGTAGTTGAATCATCTACAACCAATGCTTTATACAATGCAATATTCAATTTTACTTCCTACTGATAAATTAAAGCAATCTTTACCATTCAGTGCTTACAAGTACTTTGATTACTGTTCTAGAGTTAAGCCCATTTACAAATGAAAAAAAATTGTAAGGGTTCCGCGGAACCCAGTGTCTCGCCTACTTTTTCTGTTAAACGCAGGCTCAACAAAAATGAGGAAGTAAATCAATAAAAATATTCCTCTTGATACTATCTTTTGATTGTAAGAAGCTTCTGTCCAAGTTTGGTAAAAATCCAGGATAGTTTATGAATCTAATAAATGTTTAAAAACTTTAACTGCAGACTGAATGTAATGTTAACTGGAAGAAAACAAAATTTCCTTCTAGATACTAGCATTTGATCATAAACAAGCTTCTGTCCAAGTTTGGTACAAATCCAAAATAGTACAAGAAAGTTATTAAAATTTTAAAAACTTGAACCACAGAGTGAATATGTTGTTTCCTGGCAGAAAATCTAAGTCCATTTAAAAGTAAAATAAGAAAAAATGGATTTATTTTTTTACAAAATTTACTTCTAGATACTATCTTATGATCATAAACAAGCTTCTGTCCAAGTTTGGTACAAACCCAAGATAGTTTAAGAAAGTAATTAAAATTTTAAAAACTTTAACCACAGAGTGAATGTAATATTTCCCGGCAGAAAAACTAAGTCCATTTATAAGTAAAATACGGAAAAAATGGAATTTTATTTTTACAAAATTTACTTCTGGATACTATCTTATGATCATAAACAAGCTTCTGTCCTAGTTTGGTAGAAATCCAGGATAGTTTAAGAAAGTTATTAAAATTTCATAAACTTTAACCACAGAGTGAATATTTGTGGACGCTGCCGACGACGACGCCGACGGAATGTAGGATCGCTATGTCTCGCTTTTTCGACTAAAGTCGAAGGCTCGACAAAAATTGCTGAATTTTTCGTTTCCGTTCTCTAACTTGAGTTTGTCTTAAATTAATATAATGAAATGTATATATAATGCTTTTTACCACAAAACTCAGTTTAATTTGTTTCCGTTCTCTAACTTTAGTTTGCCTCAACCAAATGTTATGAGACTTATACACAATGCTTATTACCACATAATACAGATCAAGTTTGAAATTGGGTGGTGTCACTTTTACCGTTCTTTAGTTATCCCCCTTTATAAACATAAAAATTGCTGAATTTTCCGTTTCCGTTCTCTAACTTTAGTTTGCCTCAATCAAATTTTATGAAACTTATACACAATGCTTATTACCACTTAATACAGATCTAATTAGAAATTGGGTGGTGTCACTTTTACTGTTCTTGAGTTATGTCCCTTTATAAACATAAAAATTGCTGAATTATTTATTTCCGTTCTCTAACTTTAGTTTACCTCAACCAAATGTTATGAGCCTTATACACAATGCTTAATACCACAAAACTCAGATCAAGTACAAATTTAGGTAGAGTCACTTTTACAGTTCTTCAGTTATGTCCCTTTATATCTTTATATGTTATGCAAGCGGGGGCATCATGTGTCCATGCATGGAAACAAACCACATTTATTTATATAGGATTGATTATATATAAGAGAAATAATTTTAGAAATTTTGCTGTTTCTGAAACAGTGAAATAAACTTTCTGATGCAATTGATATTTATTTGGTTTGCTTTTCTTAAGAATCATATGTTTTTCAAGTTCGTTATAAACTTTAATATTAACAAGTTCATGAAAGTAGAGGTCTTTGGATTAATTTCTTCTTATAAATATGAGTGATTTTATAAAAGGTTTGGAACAAGCCTCCACTGTACACACTCTTTTTAAAAGTCAATCAATTGCAGTAAAAACTTAGTTCCGAGATTTTGAGAAACATCTCTTCTAAATCTTCAATAAAATATAAAGAATTAAGAATTTCCACCATTTTCAAATGACATTTAAAAACTCGTAGTGTTTGGATTGAACATAATATCCTGAACTTATTCCTCATGGAAAATTTATTCATTGATTGCTATTTTTTAAAAATGGCCACAAAAATATGTTAAGAGTACCGGTAATGTGCTTATATTTCATTTTTAATATGGCTGTGAATTTTGAGAAAAACGTTACAGTTTATAATATAAACTTTCCTAATGTTATCTGCTAATAGAACTAGGATGAAAAATGAAAACTAATTTTTTTTGCTTTTACAAACTTATCACAATTAAATTTTCCACTAATTGGCTCTGCCAATCTTATGCTGGTAGCATATTTTCTAAGTTGCTGAGCATGAGTATAAATAAGTATTTTTCATGTGCCTTACACAAAAGTGTGCAAGCAGGGTAGTTGACATGTCAGTTTTCACATTTAATGTGTATAGGCAATGAAATTATCTTGCAGCCAAGATGAAATCTTCTACGATAAAATGTGATAAAATGAAATAAAATTCCAAGACTTTTGAATTTAAGGATTCATTAATATTTATTGCCCCAATATAGCAGTGTCATGCTGATCTTAAGTTAAGCAAACATTCTTCATCAATCAGATATTTGGCCATAAAATCAGGATGAATATACCTATCATGTACTTTGTAATACTAAACTTCAATTACAAAAAATAAATTTTGAATAATTGTGTTGAGTATTGTATACCTATAACTATTTGTCCACCATTTTTCAGGACATCACAAATGTTCCTGTAAAATTTTGACAACACAAAAGAAATTGTTTGACACCATGATGCAAAAGTGATAGTTGTTTAAGCCATTAGTTCAAGTGTCACAAAATCTTGTGTCAAGTGTTGCAGATTTCAAAATAGCTATAAGGTCTTACATTTCTTAGTGACTTAAAAATGAAAAAAAAACTAAAAGGTGATTACTGATAACACACTTTATGACAATTTAAAAAGTAAATAAACATAAAATAATTTAATATTTGTTGTTATTTTTCAAAGGAAATTTTTGTCTGAAATGTTTTATGCCCCTGCTGCTAGTTAAGTTTCACCCCTGTTTGTTTGTTTGCTCATATGTCCCAAATTTGGTTTCTGCTCTCTACTTTTACTTTGCCTCAACCGAATGTTATGAAACTTATACACCTAACATAGATCAAATTTTGAATTTGGGTGTGTCACTTTCACAGTTCTTGATTTGTGTCCTTTTTAAATGGAAAAATTGCTGAATTCTCCATAGCTTTACAAGCGGGAGTATCTGTGTCCCATGGACGCATTCTTCTTTCATTAGCTCACCTGGCCCTATGGGACAAGTGAGCTTTTCTCATGCTTGGTGTCCGTCGTCCTTCGTCGTTGTCCGTTAACTTTTACAAAAATCTTCTCCTCTGAAACTACTGGGCCAAATTTAACCAAACTTGGCCACAATCATCATTAGGGTATCTAATTTAAAAAATGTGTCCGATGACCCGCCTGCCAACCAACATGGCTAAAAATAGGAACACAGGGGTAAAATGCAGTTTTTGGCTTATTTCTCTGAAACTAAAGCATTAAGAGCAAATCTGACGGGTTAAAAATGTTTATCCAGTTGAGATCTATCCACCCTGAAATTTTCAGACGAATCAGACAACCCGTTGTTGGGTTGCTGCCACTGAATTGGTAATTTTAAGGGAATTTTGTAGTTCTTAAATATTATTATAGATAGAGATAAACTGAAAACAGCAATAATGTTCAGCAAAGTACGATCTACAAATAAGTCAATATGACCAAAATTGTCAGCTGACCCCTTAGGGAGTTATTGCCCTTTATAATAAATTTCGTAATCTTTTACAAATATTCTTCTCTGAAACTACTGAGACAAATTTAACCAAACTTGGCCATAATCATCATTAGGGTATCTAGTTTGAAAAACGTGTCTGATGACCACGCCTGCCAACCAACATGGCCGACATGGCTAAAAATAGAACATAGGGGGAAAATGCATGTTTTATACGACCGCAAAAAAAATTGCGGTCGTATATTGGTATGACGGCGTCGTCGTCATCCGAAGACACATTGGTTTTTCGCACTCTAACTTTAGTCTAAGTGAATGGATCTCTATGAAATTTTACCATAAGGTTCAATACCACAAAAGGAAGGTTGGGATTGATTTTGGGGGGTAACTGCCTCAATTGTTATGGTACCAACAGTTAAGGAATTAGGGGCCAAAAATAAGCATTTTTGTAACTTCCATTTATAACTTGTGTGTTAGTGTATTGATCTCTCTGACATTGTACCACAAATTTCCATATCACAAAGGGAATGCTGGGATTGAGTTTTGGGGTAATTGCCCAAATCGTTAAGGAATAAGGGGGCAAAAAGGGGCCAAAAATGAGCATTTTTCTAGTTTCCAGACAATAACTTGTGTTCAAGTGTATGAATCTCTCTGAAATTGTACTGCAAGGTATCATACCACAACGGGAAGGCTGGTATTGATTTTGGGGGTAATTGCTTCTAAATTTTAGGAATTAGTGGCCAAAAAAGGGGCAAAAAACAAGCATGTTTCTAGTTTCAGGACAATAACTTGTGTGTAAGTGTATGGATCTTTATGAAATTGTACTACAAGGTTCCACATCACAAAAGGAAAGCTGGGTTTGAGTTTGGGGGTAATTGCCGTAAACAATTAGGAATTTGGGGCCAAAAAGGGGTAAAAAAACAAGTATTTTTAGTTTCCAGACAATAACTTGTGTTCAAGTGTATGGATCTCTCTGAAATTGTACTGCAGGTATCATACCACAAAGGGAAGGCTGGGATTGATTTTGGGGGTAATTGCCTCAAAATTTTAGGAATTAGGGGCCATAAAGGGGCAAAAAAACAAGCATTTTTCTAGTTTCAGGACAAAACTTGTGTGTAAGTGTATGGATCTTTATGAAATTGTTCTGCAAGGTTCCATATCACAAAGGGAAAGCTGGGTTTGATTTTGGGGGTAATTGTTCTAAACGTTTAGGAATAAGGGGCCAAAAAGGGGCAAAAAAAAAAGCATTTTTCTAGTTTCCAGACAATAACTTGTGTTCAAGTGTATGGGTCTCTCTGAAATTGTACTGCAAGGTACCATACCACAAAGGGAAGACTGGGATTGAGTTTGGGGATGATGAATCATAAGGGGGTTCACAAAATTGGGGTGGGGGTATTTTTTTCTTTTCCATTTTAAATTGGTTATTTCTGATTTATATATAAAAGCAAATAATAATGATATGGTTTGAATAGGTAATAAAAAAAATTTTAAGTTCTAAGACCACATTCATTCTGTGTCAGAAACCTGTGCTGTGTCAAATATTTAATCACAATCCAAATTCAGTGCTGTATCAAGCTTGAATGTTGTGTCCATACTTGCCCCAACTGTTCAGGATTTGACCTCTGCGGTCGTATCAAGCTGCGCCCAGCGGAGCATTTTATTGAGTTTTAGGCAAAAACTATAGAAAATAGAGAAAAACTGTGAACAGGATAAGTTATTATATATATAAGTTAGACAAAAAAGAGATTTTAGTCATTTATAATATTCTGGTCTACACTGTTGGAGAGTATACATTGATGGAGATGTATAGTTGGTGAAAGACTGGCTTTTTAGGGCCTCTAGTTTTATTATACCCCATGTAACAAAGTTATGTAGGCTATAATGTTTTTGACCCGTCAGTCAGTCCATCCATCTGTCCTGTTCTTGTCATCACAACTCCTCTGAAACCACAACAGGATTTCATGAAACTTTGTAGATGATCAGGACATAATATGTAGATGTGCATGTCAACAGGTAATTATGATTCAATTTTTATACAACCGCAAATCGTAAAATAGAAATCTATGAAATTTAAACACAAGGTTTATAACCACAAAAGGAAGGTTGGGATTGATTTTGGGGGTTATGGTCTTAACAGTTTAGGAATTAGGGGCCAAAAAATGGGCCTAAATAAGCATTTTTCTAATTTTCAGACAATAACTTGTGGAACGGTGTATGGATCTCTCTGAAATTGTGCAACAAGTTTCCATACCACAAAGGGATGGTAAGGATTAGCTTTGGGGGGTAATGGCTCAAACCGTTTAGGAATTAGGGGCAAAAAAGGGGGGAAAAACAATGGTTTCCTTGTTAATGGACACTCACTTTTAAGTACAATGTTAAATTTGGATTACCTCCCTTACACTGCTTTACAATTATGTATTATCTTGACGTGATTAGCTGTCAATTTATTTTTAGAAGTTACTAATAAAAATGCTGATTAAAGATATATTATTTTTAGACATGATTATGTATGTCATTTTCTATTTTAAGACTTTTATGATGTATTTAAATGGGCCACGGTAATTATGGTTGCAAACTTCATTGGAAATTTGAATTGAGATAATGACCATATCTTGAGGGAAAGAATTTTTTTTTGGAAAAAGGGGAGGGGGTGGAGAGGTGAAAAAAAAATTGGAGGGGGGGGGGGGTAAAAATTGGGGTGAATTTTTTTTTGGGGGGGGGTCAATTTGCAACAGCATAGTATATTGCACAAAAGCAAAATAAAAAAGGGGGGGGGTTAAATTTTTTTTTTGGGGGGGGGGGGGGGGAATTCGCAACAGCATAGTGAATTGCACAAAAGCAAAAAATTGAATATAAATTCAAATCATATAACCAATTCTAAGTGCTTTGACTACAGTTATTCTGTGTCAGAAACCTATCATGTGTCAAACATTTAATTTCAATCCAAATTCCGACCTTTATCAAGCTCGAATATTGTGTCCATTTTGCCCCAACTGTTCAGGGTTGGACCTCTGCGGTCGTATCCAGCTGCGCTCGGCGAAGCAATTTATTTTTTACTAGCAAAATCATTCATTTAAATATTGCATATTATCTACTATAGCATATATGACTTACGTTACTATAAATAGAAGATACAAAATTATTTCAGATGTCCTGCATAATATTTGTACATAGCCAGTTTTCTAGCAAACTTTGCACACATGGTTCATTTACAGTCTCCTTTACAGTTAATGGTTGATACCTCCACTTACCTTCACTGTTAACCAACATTTATTCTTAATTTAGTGACAAAACATAAAGTTTCTACAGATGGACATTTTTTTATCAATATCATCATTGTATAAAATAAAAGCTTAACAAAATATTCAGCAAGAAATATATTTGAATATGTTGAATTATATTTCTCAGCAATGTATCAAGTGATAGTCTTGTATGAAATTATTTAATGATTATGGTGCAAGTGCTGATAGTATACCCTTACTCTAAAAGTGGGGGTTATATTGCATTAAAAGTGTCCAACCTTTAGTCCAACAAATATTTTCATCACACTTTTCTCATGAACGACAGGACAGATAAACTTCCTATTTGATCAGCAGTTTTTACAGTTGATTCCTGGAGGTTGGTGGATTTCTAAGGGTTATGACTATGGAAATTATTGTTTACATGATGTTTGTAGTTTACAAGGAGTTTTTACAGTCAATTGGTAAGGGGACGACAGGACAACTTCCCAAATCTTTTAATAATACAATGTATAAATATTAATGTACTTGAAATGTCTGAAAATGGGTTTCATTTAACTTGAGGTATATTGTCTCAGGAACATTTACCTCTCTTTTATTACAGGGCTGAAACTTCATTAAGGCAAACACCTCATGTAGGAAATTTAAAAAACAAAAGCTTGTCTTCATATCAAAATTGTTTTCACAGCGAGTGTCTTGCAAGAAGCAAGTTCTGTTCACCCTCTGACGTAGCCCCTGTTTTTCGGGATCCATGTTTCTCATTTATTTTTAGTTTTCAGTGTTATTTGTCTATTGTTTGTTGTTTTGTGTTTATCTGTTCCCGGGTTTGTCTTTTGTTCATTGATTGTCCTTCTTTATTCTCTTAGTGTTGCATTCCATTTGTTATTTAGTAATTTTGTTTTAAACTTGAGTTTTATTTTATATAAGGACTTTTTATCTAATTTTACAAACTTCTTTAAATTGTATTAAATTA